CTGCACTCCAGTCTGGGCGACAGAGTGAGACTCCAACTCAAAAAAAAAAAAGTAATCTCCTCATTTCACAGCCAGCCATCTCAGGTCTGCTGTGCAGAGATCACACATTTGGTTAGTGGCAGAGTAAGTGCAGGTTGAATATGCCTTATTCGAAACACTTCTGGTTCCAAGTGTTTTCGTTCAGACTGCCCAAATCCAATTTGAGATTCGTTTGGATTTTTGAATATTTGCATTATACTTGCTGGTACAGCATCCCTAATCTAAAATCCAAATGCTCTCATGAGCATTTCCTTTGCACATCATTCTGGCCTTCAAAAAGTTTTGGATTTTGGAGCATTTTGGATTTCAGGTACTAGAATTCAGGTTTTTGTATTGGAATTCACGTTTCCTTCTGCCTAAAATAATATTACTCATTACATGTGCTAGTATTTAGTAAATATTTTGCCAAAGAAGGTCACTAGATGACATTGTTGGTATTGCATATTGCTTCTATTCAGGGCTCTAGGTGATATGCATTTAGTTGGGTAAAGACTGAGGCTTTGTTCTTTAAAGCTTTGCATCCTTTAAAGTGGGGGATTGCTTGAGACGTGTGCTTCACTTTGGATTGTGACTTTTCTTCTCTTGGTGTTTTTATTCCCAGAAGAAAAATTTGCCCAAGCAGTATGTTTTTTGCTTGTAGACCTGTATATATTAACCTACCAAGCTGAGAAAGCTTTGCATCTTCTTGCTGTCCTGGAAAAAATGATTTCACAGGGTAACAATAACAAAAATGGAAAGAATGAGGTGAGTGTTCAGAGGTGATCGAACTAAAATCTGAAATATGATGAATATTTGTGGTTATGAAATATTTTGACAGCTTGAGATATGATTTACATATCATAAATGTTACCATTTTAAAGTATAGAGTTAAGTGTTTTTTGGTATACTCACAATGAGGACTGTAATCCCAGCACTTTGGAGGGCTGAGGCCAAGGGATTGTTTGTGGCCAAGAGTTCAAGGCCAGTCTGGGCAGCATAGTGAGACCCCATCTCTACGAGAAAATTTGTTTAAATTAGTTAAACATGGTGGTAACATACCTGTAGTCCTAGCTTTCTGGAGGCTGTGGCAGGAGGATCACTTGAGCCTAGAAATTCAAGACTGCAGTGAACTTTTATTGTGCCACTGCACTCTAGCCTGGGCAACAGAGCAAGACCCTGTCTAAAAAACAAACAAATAGGCCAGACTCGTAGCTCAGCCTGTAATCCCAGCACTTTCAGAGGCCGAGGTGAGTGGATTGCCTGAGCCTGTGGGTTTGAGACCAGCCCAGGAAACTGGGCTAGACCTTGTCTCTACAATAAAAAAATTTTTTAAAAAAATGGCCGGGCATGGTAGCGCATGCCTGTAGTTCCAACTACTTGGAAGGCTGAGGCGGAAGGATCACAGGAGCCCAGTAGGTCGATGCTGGGGTGGCTGTAAGTGTGACACTATACTCCAGCCCAGGTGATGGAGTAAGACTCCAACTCTAAAACAAACAAACAAACAAATAATGCTGCTATAAACATTCATGTACTAATTTTTGTGTGATTAGATGTTTTCACTTCTCTTAGATATAATATTTAGGGGTGGAATCGCTGGATCATGTGGTAACTTAACTATTTAACCTTAAGGAATTACCAGATTATTTTCCAACATGGCAATATTTTATATTCCCAACAGCAATTTATGTGATTCTAATTTCTTCACATTCTTGCCAAAACTTGTTATTGTCCATCTTTTTAAAAAATTTTAGTCATCTTGTTTTTGTTTTGATTTGCATTTTCCTAAGGACTACCTTGAGCATCTTTTCATGTGTGAGATACCATTTTTATAGAATGTAAAGATTAGAATTAAGACAGTAGAACCCATAATCTGGTTAAACATTATAGTTTTCATTAGGGAAAATTTCATTATTAAAATTCTTCAAAAAAGGACTAGGCATGGTGGCTGATATCTGTAATCCCAGCACTTTGGGAGGCTGAGGTGGGAGGATCATTGGAGCCCAGGAGTTTGAGACCAACCTGGGCAATATAACAAGACCTTGTCTCTACCAAAAATTAGCCAGGCATGTAGGCACACACCTGTAGTCCCAGCAAGTTGGGAGGCTGAGATGGGAGGATTGCTGGAGGCAGGAGTTCAATGCTGCAGTGAGACGTGATCATGCCACTGCACCCCACCTTGGGCCACAGAATGAGACCTCAACTCAAAGAAAAAAAGTATTCAAAAAGATCTCACACTGGCCAGGTGTGGTGGCTTACTCAGTAATCCTAGCAGTTTGGGAGGCTGAGGTGAGAGGATTGCTTGAGCCCAGGAGTATAAGACCAACCTAGACAACATTGCAAGACCTCATCTCTACAAAAATAAATAAAATTAACCAGGCGTGGGGTGGTATACATCTTTTGTCCCAGCTACTTGGGAATCTGAGGTGGAACGATCACCTGAGCCCAGAAGGTCAAGAACTCAAAAAAAAAAAAAAGACTTCCACTTATTTTGTGTATTTGTTTCTTTGTTTTAGAGATAGTCTTTTACTCTGTCTCCCAGCCTGGAGTACAGTGGCACAGTCACAGCTCACTGAAGTCTTGAACTCATGGGCTCGGGTTATCCTCCTGCCTCAGCCCCCTGAGTAGCTGGGACTGTAGGTGTGCGCCACCACACCTGGCAAATTTTTTAATTTTTTGTAGAGGCAGGCTCTCACTGTGTTGCCCAGGCTGGTCTTGAATTCCTGGCCTCGAGATCCTCCTGCTTCAGCCTCCCAAAGTGGTGAAATTATAAGCATAAGCCACCATACCCAACCCAGATCTCATATTCATGATGATTAAGCGTCACTAAGCTCTGAAAGAGACTTAGTACCCAGTAAGAATACATTCTGGGTCTCATGTTTTTTCTTTTGCTCATGCTTCTGGTTATCAAAGGATGACCCTTCTTTATCCCTATTCCGGCCCCTTTGTTAAAAAAGGCTTGTTTGCAGGAAACAGATTGTCAATACCTTCTTGCTTATATAAGTTCTTGAGGTTTTGAGGCAGAGGCAAGAGGTTTGCCTGAGCCCATGGATTGAAGACCAGCCTGAGCAACATGGAAAGACCTCGTCTCTACAATAAATCAAAAAATTAGCTGGGTGGGGTGGTGCACACCTGTAGTTCCAGCTACTTGGAAGACTGAGGCAAAAGGCAAGTCGAGGCTGCGGTGTCTGTTAGCATGCCACTGCACTCACTCCAGGCAACAGAGTAAACCTCTGACTCAAAAGAAAACAAAAAACAACAATAAAAAAATAAGTTCTTGAGGTTCAAAAATAAGTATCTAGCATTACTTTTTTTTAACTTAAGTGTGTGTTTATAAAGGATTTTAGTTGAAAATCTTTTCATTGTTCCTAAAGATTGCATAGTAAAATATTTCATTGATACTCAATACTTGTAATATTTGATAAAATTTAATTTAGTTGAGCAGATGCTCGTGTGCTCTGCCAAGTTCTAAGCTACTCTGCTAGGTACCAGGGTGATGAAAAGAACGCATTGCAGTCCTTGCTTTCAAGGTTCTCAGGTCTGGGGAGAGATAAGTTGAGAACCATCTGTTCATGGACAGGCAGGACGGAAGTTAGGAATGCATTAGGACAATTGGATGTGTGATTTGGGCCTTGAAAGAGTAAAGGCTTGACAGGTCAGAAAAGGAGGGGTGGAGCAGGATAGCCATCTTGGTTGAGGAAACAGCACACAAGGTGTGAGCTTCTGGTGAGCTGCAGAAGTGTCTGTAAGGTGTGGAGAGCATCAGGAGGCGAGGCTGGCAGTGGGAGTAGGGATCAGAGCTGGACTGTCTGACAGAAAGTTAGAGTTTGACATTGTTGGCAGTGTTCGTAACAGAAAGTCTTTACAATTGGAGCAATATTATCTGTGTTGGGTTTTTGAATGGCAATCTGAATTTTACCCGAGTACTATCAAACATTTTCAAACAAGTCCATCATTATTCTCAAATGTGAGCTTCTCATTGGTAGTTTCCTGTCACCCACTCCAGACTGTGGAGCCTGAATCTGTGGGAGGGGGACTGGGGATTCTGCATTTTGAAAAATATTCTCTAGGTGATTTAGATTAGTCCACTTGGAAATCGCTGATTTAAAGTTATGTTCGAACACATTTAATTTTGGTAAACTTTGTTTCACCACCCTACAGACTGGTAATAACACCAACAAAGATGGATCTAACCATAAAGCTGAAAGCGGAGCACTAATAGAAGCTGCAAAATCAAAGATACATCAGGTATGTACAATTTAAAGGGCAGTTACACATCATATATACTTACTTGTAGTTATGAAGAATGAAGCAATGTGATAGATCATTGAAAGCAGTGAGTAATTCAAGGGATGTATATTTATTTGACTTTAAAGTATCGTTAGAAGTACATTTATCCTTCAAAATATATTTGGCTTATGATAATATAATATAGTTTCTTTTATTTACTCCATAAAAGTTTGAGAGAAATGGCCTAGGAATATATTAGATTATAAAATCAATTTGTGGAATTTTAAAGATCATTGTTAGTTAACCATGTGCTGATGGCAGTTGGTAGGATTTTGCTTAGAATGCACATATAAGTTTTATTCTACTGTGTTTTCAGTTTTTTTAAGTATATTTCAAGAGTACAGTAAAACAGAATCTTTAAGATAATTTTAAACTTGATTTGGCAAGTAACTGGTATAAATATGCTGTAAATAGGGTTGAGTTTAATTTTCTTAACTACAAAGTAAAACTTTAGCATATGTAAATCTACCGTAGTTCTTACATAGTAGCATTTTTTCCTTGACAGTACAAAGTACGAGCTTATATTCAAATGAAGTCCCTGAAGGCATGCAAAAGGGAAATCAAGTCAGTCATGAACACAGCCGGAAATGTGAGTTTCTTCTGGACTTTTCTCTAGTTTGTCAGTTTGTGACTTTCTTATCTAGACTATGGGCATTTGTCAATTTTAAATAATTTTTCTTAGTCTATTATACATGCACCAGATATAAACCTAAAATTATTGAATTGGGAAGTCATGATCATACTATACCTGTAGTTTAATGTAGTACATTTTTTACTTAAAATTGTTACAAGCATTTTTGCTTTTGTTTTTTGAATCAGAGTCTCACAATGGCATGATCATGACGATCACAGCTCACGACAGCCTCGACCTCCTGGGCTCATCTGATCCTTCCACCTCAGCATCCCGAGTACCTAGTGCTACGTGCGTGCACCACCATGCCCAGCTAATTTTTCAATTTTTTTGTAGAAATGACATTTAGCTATGTTGCCCAGGCTGGTCTCAAACTCCTGGGCGCAAGCAATTCACCTGCCTCAGCCTCCTTAATGCTAGGATTATAGGCATGAGCCACTGTGCCTGGCCTCGTTTTTCCTTTTTATATAGCTGCCTGGTATTCTGAGAGTGGTTTATCACAATTCACTTAACATTTGCTGATATTGGACATTTAGATTATTTTAGAATTTTTAAATGCTAAACTCAAAACATTTACTAGAGATTTAACTGTCAGTTGGGCATGGTGGCTCACACCCATAATCCCAGCACTTGGGAGGCAGAAGGGAGAAGATTGCCTGAGTTAACGGGTTCAAGACCAGCCTGGGCAACTTGGCGAGACTTCGTCTCTACAATAAATCCAAAAACTAGCTTGGCGTGATGGTATGCCTTTCATTCCAGCTACTTGGAAGGCTGAGGCAGAAGGATCACCTGAGCCCAGCAGTTCGAGGTAGCGGTGGCCATGAGCGTGCCACTGCACTCTAGCCTGGGCGACAGAGTGAGACTCCTACTAAAAAAAAAAAAAAAAAAAAAAAGGTTTAACAGTCAAATTGTAGCCAAGACCTGTCCCTTCCAAATGACTGCTTGATTGATACCTTTGATTTAACTAGTACTACGATATTTGAGATATAATTACTCCTTCTACTCCCTCAACCCTAGTCCTCCATTGACAGATAATTTTTAAGATGGTGTGGGGAAGAAGCAGAATTGTGAACATTGTTGATGCTTTTAGGAAAGCTATAAATTTAGAAGTATGAAATCATGAGAATATATGGTTAGTAATCTCATGCAGGATCCAGATTAGCTACTTGGGTTAGTACTCTAATGATTTTTTTTTTTTTCTTTTTGAGTCAGAGTGTCGCTTCGTCGCCCAGGCTGGAGTGCAGTAGTACACTCACCGCCAGCCCAGCGTCGACCTGCTGAGAACTCATGATCCTTCCGCCTCAGCCTTCCAAGTAGCCGGAACTACATGTGTGTGCTACCATGCCCGACTGATTTTTTTATTTTATTATAGAGATGAGGTCTTGCCAAAGTGCCTGGGCTGGTCTTGAAACCACAGGCTCAGGCAATCTCCTGGCCTCAGCCTCCCAAAGTGCTGGGATTACAGGCTGAGCCACTGAGCCCGGCCTAGAGATTTTTAAGGAGAACAATTTTAGCCCAGACCTGAAGCTGAGAGAGAAAGTCCTAATTAGCTAACTATTATCAAACCGTTTTTGAGTTATAAGACATAATCCTGGCCGGTCTCGGTGGCTCAGCCTGTAATCTCAGCACTTTGGGAGGCCAAGGCGAGTGGATTGTCTGAGCCCACGGGTTCAAGACCAGCTTGGGCAACTTGGCGAGACCTCGCTTCTACAATAAATCAAAAATTAGCCGGGTGTGGTAGCGCATGCCTATAGTTCCAGCTACCTGGAAGACTGAGGCGGTAGGATCACCAGAGCCCAGCAGATTGAGGCTGCGGTGGCATATAAATAAATAAAGACATAATCCCTGCCCCAGACTGGGTGTGGTGGCTCACGCCTATAATCTCAGTACTTTGGGAGGCCAAGGAGAGAGGGCTGCCTGAGCCCGCGGGTTCAAGACCAGCCTGGGCAACTTGGCAGGACCTCATCTCTATAATAAAACAACAAAAATAGCCGGGCATAGTGGTGCATACCTGTAGTTCCAGCTACTTGGAAGGCTGAGGCGGAAGGATCTCCTGAGCCCAGCAGGTTTCGGCTGCAGTGGCCAGGAGCATTCCACTGCCCTCCAGCCTGGGTGAGACTGCAACTCAAAAAAAAAAAAAAAAAAGAAAATCCCTGCCTGAAAGGACGCCATAGTAACAGTGGAGAGACAAGCAAAAATAATTATAATTGTAACTCAGTGTAATGCTCATACCTGACTGAAGGACAACTTGAGGAGGAAGTGCTACCACTGAGAATAAGACTTGAAGCCTTCATTTCCTTACTGACCACAGCTCTGGGATGGCCGGGTGGCAGAGCAAAGAATGGACAAGTATGTAAGAGAAAAGCCTATTGCGAAACTAATGTGAATAAATAATTAGACGAGGATCCCTGGTGTCCTCCAGGATGGATGTTGAGTCTCCAGACCTCTGCAGCTTTTGCACTCTGAATGTGTGCTGCCATCCCGAGGATCCTCCATCATGAGGTGCCTTAGGGGAAGGGAAAGGTGACCTGCATCCCAAACAAGGCCTCTGCAACAGCGAGATTAGTGCTCGCAAATAGGGCATTCTGTTGGAAAATTCTTCCATTTGTAGAATGACACTTTTTCCTTTGCTCTTTGGAAAAGTATTTGATCATTTGTATCTCTTTAAGTTCTAATGAAGGTGCATTTATGTCCTAAAAAGTAAGGAGCATCACCAGCCTCTCATAACCATTAAAATGAAGGACCCAGTTTGTGCTATGAAGTTGGCTTCCTGGTAGTAGTGAGTGAATGAAGACAGGCAGGTGGTGATCTGCAGTCTGTGTTCTTAAACAGATATGTTGTGCCTATTTTTTTAGGTAGACCCTTACTTCTTTTTGCTAGGTGCTGTTTGATAGGTTTTAATTTTTTAGATTGCAAGGGCAATGGAAAGTTTAGAGACTAGAGACTATGTATGTTTCTTGTGACCATGATTTAATTGAGTCACTTATGCTTTTGAACACATTCCGGTGCAACAGTATAATTAAGGTCCTGCATTAAGCATCAGTAAGCAAATTATAAGTAACCTTTATATTTTCCTTACAGTCTGCACCCTCTCTGTTTCTTAAAAGCAATTTTGAGTACTTAAGGGGCAATTATCGAAAAGCTGTGAAACTATTAAATAGTTCAAACATTGCTGAGCATCCAGGATTCATGAAAACAGGTAAAAGAAAATCATAATATTTTAACTTTTTTTTTTCCTGGCTCTTCTCCTCCTCATTGCTTGTTCCCCTCCCTGCCTCTGGACTGTTCATCAGAGTCCTTTATGCTAATTTTCAAGGAAAACTATTTTAATATATCTGCTGCAAAAAATTCCGGAATTTTGGTTTATGACTTGTTTCCACTTCAGAAGAAACCTCATTGTGTTTTTCTCTTTACTTTAATATCACTGTGCTTTTTTTCATTTTTTAATTTTTTTTTATTTTAGAGACAGAGTCTTGCTCTGTCACCCAGGCTGAAGTGCAGTGGATCAATCAGTCAAAGGTCACTGCAGTCTCTAACTCCTGGGCTCAGGTGATCCTCCCATCTCAGCCTTCCAAGTAGCTAAGAACCACACATGCGCACCACCATGCCCAGCTAATTTTTCTAGAGATGAGGACTCACTATATTGCCCAAGTTGGTCTCAGACTCCTGGCTTCAAGCAATCCTCTCACCTCAACTGCCCAAAGTGTTGGGATTACAGGCATGAGCCACTTAGCCCCGCTCTTATTTTGTTTTTGTTTGTTTGTTTTTGTTTGTTTGTTTTGAGTTGGTGTCTCACTCTGTCGCCCAGACTGGAGGGCAGTGGCCGCTCCGGCCACTGCAGCCTCGACCTG